ATTAACAATAAACACGTAATTATCATTTTTCATTCTTTTACAAAAGAGATTAACGGATAACATACTTTTACCATAATCCTACCACTCACGCTAAACTAGGTGGCATGTTTTAATTTCATTTCGATTATCAAAAATGGTATTGAATCTTAATTGGATAATTCCTAATATACTATGGCTAATGTCACATCTTGACCCGGGCCCCCACCACATCCTGAGCTCGACAATGTCGTAACACAATATTGTCCGCCTTGGGCCCCGACCATGCCCTCACAGTTTTGTTTCTGAGAACTCACACGAGAACTTCCCAATGGGTCACCCATCATGGGATTGCTCTTGGGCGAACTCGCTTAACTCCAGAGTTTAGATGGAACCCAAAGACAGTGAGCTCCCAAAAGGTCTCGTGCTAGGTAGAGATGAGAATATACATATAAGGTTTACAAGATCCACTCCCCTGGGTGATGTGGGATGTTACAATCCACCCCCCTTAGGGGCTCGACGTCCTCGTCGGCACACTTCTGACCAGGGATTGACTCTGATACCAAATTGTCACATCCCAACCCAAACCCCCACCACATCCCAGGTGACACACCACGACCCGGAATGTCCACTAGGACTTCGAATCAAGCTGCGCTGGCCGACACCTGAGAGGTGACGAAGCCATACAGTGTGATGATGTGGAAAAATGTGAATAAATTTAAACATAAAAGTGCCTAAATGCCAGAGTGCACTGGTGAGTGGGAATGAACCCACTTCACACGTGACATTAGAGTATAAGTAAGTACCGTAGAGTGAATTAAGAATCATACCCTCAGAAGAATCTCCAATACTAAGAATTTCCACGAATCTTTGACGATAAGAAAGCTCAGTTAATAAAACCTAGAAGGTGAAACAAAACAAGGGTGAGTGGCCCTAGAAATAAATTTTAATAGAAACCATATAAAACATTATAACCCCTCACTACGACACTTGTATAGTTTCCAGAAAAATCCTAAATATACCATAACACAACATCTCTTCAGCAATATCAATAATCATGTGATTTATAACCCATACTAGCACGCAAGTCGGAGTCACCTATGGTGACCTGTACGACTGCACCCATATCTCATAACATATGCTAGCTCATCACATATTTCATCACATATGCTAGCTCATCACATATTTCATCACATATGCTAACTCATCACATATCTCATCACATATGCTAGCTCATAAGCCGGAGTCACCGATAGTGATGTACGACTTATCCATAGCTCATCATATATCCCTGCACACAAGTCGGAACCACCTATAGTGGTCTGTACGACAGGACTGTGTGTAAATAAGTACGCTCAAGTGCTACGATCACGTGAAGACTGTGCGAATAATCGTGGGTCACCTACAAGTCGGAACCACCTATAGTGGCCTGTACGACAGGCTTGTGCACCTACCTTGGATCCAAGGTGAGCGTAAGGTGCGGGAGGTGAACATCACGTGAAGGACTGTGCCCTGGTCATGGGCAGGAGCACTAACACCGGGGTGCAGGTTTACGAGCTCTAAATGCATCTCATGTGACATATACAACTCATAGGCAACTTGTACGACAATGTCGGAGTTGCCTAAAACATAATGTGATCATGCCATAACTCAATCATTTCAACTAATACCATAACTCACCTAAACTTACCTATGTGTTCCATGTTCATCTTCGCACTTCAAAGCATTCATAATAATTTTGTGCAGGTAGTATACACATGGATATGCCATAATGCAAATCTAAAACTCAACCATATCATAGTATTTTTCCAATATATATATATAATGTGGCGTAAAATGCACAATCTATAACGCCCTACTCCCAAATTATTTATTTTCGGAAATAATTATCTGGGATAAGTCCAACTAAACACTAGTTTAATTAACTATCATTACTTACGTTTCCTTATTTCAGTTTCTTGAGTCCTTCCACATTAATTTATGACCAACATCCAATCACTAAAAATATAAGGTTAAATCTCATATTTTCACCTATTTCCTTCACATTGCTCAATTCCCAAACAAGGTTTTTGTTTCAAATATTGTATGGCTGCATCTAACGTCTCGTTAGACTGCCTACGTACCCTAAACAGGGATCAAGCCATTCGTAGTTCACTTTAGTACTTCAAAGCATACACAGTAATTATATGCAATAATCAATTTATAACCGTTTGTGGAATTATCAATCATATATATATATATATATATATATACACAATAGAAAGGAAAAGACCCACTTACCTAAGGTCCGCGCTACGACTCCCTAGCATGCATATCGAGACATCACGAACCATCGTCGCCTTTGACCAATTATCAAATTACATCTCAGAGTTCGTACCGATAAAATACACAATTTATATAAAACACATCCCTACGTAATTCAATTTGGAAGATCTGCATCAGGGATTTCCGATCTGTTGATTCCAAAGATCTACATTATACCTCTAGAACAACATCCTAAAGTCCCATTACGATCCAACGGTTAGATCTCCGCCAATTGCCAAAACTAAGTGACGATTAACCTTTTATTTCATGAACTCACAAATTCAATTCGGGAAGATCCATATATCAGATTCCCGATCCATAAGTTCCTATGGTCTTCAAATATTACGTACTAAAATATATTAAAGTTTGGTGACGATCCAACGGTTGGATTGTCGATTCATATTTTTACCAAGTAACGTATCCTAATGAGTTTAGGTCCAAACGATCAACCTACGATATAAAATTGCCAAAATTGAACTCAAAACATCTAATTTAGCCTAAGGATAACATCGACGGTCCCCTGGCCACGTGCCACCGTGGGTGGGGGCCGGCCGCCCTGACTCGCTGGAAAATTCAACTATCTCCAAAATTCTCAAATTTCACAGAAATGAAGATCTCAATGACAGGAACAACTTTCATACTTGCCACGAAGTCCAAAAGTGGACAGAAGATGGTTAATTTTGCCCACGAAGCCGGCGGATGCTTAAAGCTTCCCGGTGTCGATTTGTCGTCTACGGTGGTCCAACGGGGTCAAGGTTGGTTGGGTTTTGCTCATGGGATGATGTGCTACAAATCCCAAGTGGTGGCATCGGCCATCGTTTTTCCGATTTGCCCGAAAATCAAAAAGGGTGGTCGGAGCAACGTGAGAACAGTCAACTTTCGTGGCCTCAAACCGCCACATACAAAGGTTAATCAAGGTGGTTCTTGGGTGGATTTTGTTAAGGGGAATGAGAGCTTCAAGATGGAGGTGGTGACGTCAAAAAATTCCACCGTAGTTGGCCAAAATCGACCTTGGAAGTTGGGTGGTCAGGGTGGTGGCGTACACGAGAAAGCTGGGAGCTTTCTCCCTTTTTTTTTTTTTTTTCTTCTTCTTCTTCTTCTTCTTCTTCTTTTCTGATTTCTGATTGGGATGCTGCCCTTTTTCTACATTTTATCTAATTGGTCCTCCTTAACCAATTGACTAACTTTAAATAATCAACTTTAAACGTTCGTAATTATACCGTCCAGACTCGCAAACGGCTTTCGCCTATGTGTTCGTACCAACGTGTACTACTTAAATACGCCAAAAGAATAAGTCATACATTCCTCTAGATGATGGTCAACAGAAATCAAAATCCTTGCCTCTAGGCATTTTCGTCAATTCCCTCGATTAAAATAAATAAAAAAAAATGAAATTTTAGGGACGGGTTCTCACACCGGGTTCGACTCCACTATAGCACAATATTGTCCGCTTTGGGCCCCTACCACGCCCTCACGGTTTTGTTTCTAGGAACTCACACGAGAACTTCCCAGTGGGTCATCCATCATGGGATTGCTCTCGCGCGAACTCGCTTAACTTCGGAGTTCCGATGGAACCCAAAGCCAGTGACCTCCCGAAAAGCCTTATGCTAGCTATAGATGGGAATATAGATATAAAGCTTACATGATCCACTTCCCTGGACGATGTGAGATGTTACAGCTAATCAAAGAATGTCACGTGTTTTTTGTTTTTTAAAGTAAGAAAAAAATTAACATGTCTCATTTTTTAAAACAATAAAACATATGCCAAAGAATCATTGGACCAAAATAAAAACGTGAGTAGAGATAGGGTACTAACCAGTGAGTACCTAAGTATTTTTCATCCTAATTCTTACCTTATTTATTGCAATTTTTTCCCTCTTGTTCTAATTATCAAATGAATTATTTTAGGATAATGCTATCTGTGCACCTTTTTCCGCAACTTTTTTACCTCTCATATACTTTTTTCAATTTTCGACTGTCGGATCAAATAACAAAAATTAACAATAAATGTGTAGAAGGTAAAACGGTTATGTTGATAGTACCACTCTTATTTTACTCTTTAACTTACTGTGTTCCTCATTCAAACTTCCGCTCCTCAACCCCCCCACCTTCTTTTGTAGCATATTGCTTATAATAAAAAATAAATAAATTATTTCCTTTTAAGTTTAGTCGGTTGACTTTTGTAGTGTCCATTCCACGTTGAATTTGAACGATTCGAGCTGTTTATTTTGTAAGTATCGATTCATAGATCATCTTTACAAAAATTCAATTTAATCCGAAACTACTTGCCAATTTAATTATCACGGTATGAACTTTCATTGTTTCTTGTAGAACAAAGTATTCGTCAATTTCTTTAAACTCACTTAGATGTCTCAAATATTTCCAATTTGGCTAATATTTTATGAAGATGATCTATGAGGTCCAACTTGAAAAATAAACGGTTTGAATCGTTGAAGTTCGATATGGTGTGGACACCATAACTAATCCTAATTTTAAAAAAATGGAGATTTTCCCTTAAAGGCCTCCTTAGAATAACATTATAGTAAAGATTGCTAATTATCACCCTAAAATTTCGGTACGAGTCTCCACATTTGATTTCATTTCATATTTACCTAAAATTTTGATTGAAAAAGAATTTTAGTTTGAATTTCCATATATACCCTTCTTGTACGCGGTTCTGGACTTCAGAGTTCAGAATGTTTCGTTCTGTAGATATAAACCCAAATGTCACCTCCACAAACTCTCTCTCTCTCTCTCTCTCTCTCTCTCACTTTCTATCAGAGGCCTGCAGTGGTGTGCAGTCTGCTTGGTTTATTAGACAAAGCTCCGCTGGCCGACTCCTCAGTTTCCAATTCTACTGCAGTCCACAATGGCCGACCGAGTCCACCCGCGCGGCTCGCCCTCACACAACGAAACCACGCAGTTTCCGCACACCTCCTCGCCACAATCCACCCGAACACCCTCCCCTCCGGAGTCCGAGAAACTAGTCCCTCCGCCGGGCACCTACGTCATCCAGATCCCCAAGGACCAAGTCTACCGCGTCCCGCCGCCAGAGAATGCAACCCGCTACAAGAACTACACTCGCCAGAACCCTCGCCGGAGCTCCTGCCGCTGCTGCTTCTGCTGGCTTTTCGGCCTCGTTGCCGCCCTCATCCTCCTCTCCGCTGCCGCCGCCGGCATCTTCTACCTCGTGGTCCGCCCCGAGTCCCCCAACTACTCAATTGAAAGCATCGCGTTCAAAGGATTCCACTTGACAACGCCATCTCCCTCCTCCACCATCTCGCCGGAGATCCAGGTCACCGTTCGAGTCCAAAACCCTAACAAGAAGATCGGGATCTACTACGGGAAAAAGAACTCCGTCAAACTCTTCTACTCCGATATCAAATTGTGTGACGGCGCTCTGCCGGCGTTTTACCAGCCGTCGAAGAACGTAACTGAGTTCCGAACGGCGTTGAAGGGGTCCGGGATCAAGCTGACGAGCACGGTGCAGCAGGGGTTAGTGGATGCGCAGAGGCAGGGGAAGGTACCGTTGAAATTGGACCTAAGAATGCCCGTTAGAATTAAAGTGGGGGCCATTAAGACGTGGACGATTACTGTGAAGGTTGGGTGTGATCTAACGGTGGATAAGCTGACGACGGAGGCCAAGATTGTGTCAAAGGACTGCGATTACAGTGTGGATCCTTGGTAGAAGATCAACGGATTAAGAAAGGAAAGGCATATATGAGTATATGATTAGTTTTGTTAATTGCTTTAATTTGTTAACTAAATTTGTTTCAGATTTATACGATTACGTTTATAAAGAAAATAATTTCTTCTTCCATTCTTTGAATGTTGATTTTTCGGCCGGATCAGACATACATATTTCCAATTTCAAAACTGAAATTTTAGAATTTCATAAACTCATGCCGAATTCGGTATTTTTAGAATCAGATTATTTCAGCATTTCAAATTGCGAGAGTTTTATGACTTCATCTATACCAAGATAAAAAGTATGTCATATGACTCATATCCATGGCTCTCTCTACCTAATATAAAAATTTATAGTTCTCAATTTTTTTTTTTTTTTTTTATGTAATATGTTTAAGGGAAGGCTTATTAGTCGAAATGCCTAATGAAACTATCATTGATTCTCAATTTACCTCTTGAAACTGGTTTTGTCTCATTTTGCCCCCTAAAATTAACATTTTCAACTCTTTTGTCTTACTTTATCCAGTTCTGTTAATGGACACCTAAATTTAAGGGTATTTTAGATATTTGAACTTTTACACATTTATTTACATCTAGCTCCCACACTAAATGTAAGATCCAATATCGCCCAGAGGTGATGATCTTGTAAGCTTTATATGTATATTCTCCCATCTCTATCTAGCATGAGGCATTTTGGGAGCTCACTGGTTTCGAGTTTCATCGGAACTCCGAAGTTAAGTGAGTTCGCGCGAGAGTAATCCTATGATGGGTGACCCACTGAGAAGTTCTCGTGTAAGTTCCCAGAAACAAAACCCATCGAGCGTGGTCGGGGCCCAAAGCGGACAATATTGTGCTACGGCAGAATCGAGCCCAAGATGTGGTGGGGGTTGAGGTCGGGTTGTGACACTAAACAAGTCTCAATTTTATTTTTGACAACTCTAATTCAAACGCATAAATTTTGGGCATATTTAAAAATAAATTATTCAATCAATATAAAAATTTCGAGCAACAAAATCATTGTATCAACGAAAATAAGGGTTACATTTGTTCATAAAGTCATTTTACTTACAAGACATCCATGTATTGGCTTGAAACTATGCAATTGAAAAATATTCATTACAACAAAATCATTATACCATTAAGTTATCCTATTCAAAATACTTCCCAAACCAAAAAAAAATCATTTAAAGCAAATGTGCATAGTTTGAAACAAAACATTTCACATAATTGAGCACTGATTCCACTAGGCATGAGCTTGTTCAAACTGTGTACATTTGCTTTAAATGAATTTTTTGGTTTGGGAAGTATTTAATTGGAGAGGATAGCTTAATGGTATAATGATTTTGTTGTAATGAACAATTTTTAATTGCAAAATTTCGAGCCAATACATGGATGTCTTGCAAGTGAAATGACTCTACGAACAAATGTAACCTTTATTTTGGTTGATGCAATGATTTTGTTGCTCGAAATTTTGAATAATTTATTTATAAAAAGGCCCAAAATTTATGAGTTTGAATTAGAGTTGTCAAAAATAAAATTAAGACTTGTTTAGTGTAGGCTAGAGGTAAATAAATTTGTAAAAACTGAAATGTCTAAATACCCTTAAATTTAACACTCCATTAAGGGAAGTGGATAAGGTGAGACAAAAGAGTTGAAAATGTCAGTTTTAGAGGGCAAAGTGAGACAAAACCAGTTTCAGGGGGTAAACTAAGACTCAATGGCAGTTTCAGGGGCAATTTCGACTAATAAGCCTTAAGGGGATTGTAATTAAAAACAAAAAGATTTTATCACAATAATCCTTGAAATCGTCTCATCCCATCAAGATGGTTTCTAAAATTGAAAATCAATTAATGTAATCCCTGAAAGTGTGTCGCAAATCAATGTGATACTCCTGTCATAATTCTATCCAAAAATTTTTATATGTGCTAGTGTCACATAATAAGGTCCCACAAGTCTAATTAAATATTGTCATAAGATTAAAAATATTAAAATGATGTAAAAAAATATTTTGGTATAATTAAAAACTTTAAAAAAAAAAAGAAAAAAAAAAGAAGAAGATGATGATCTGTTCATCTTCTTGTTCCCCTCCCACCTGAGAGACCAAACCAACACTTTGTTGGCATCCGATGAGAAATCCAAAACTATGAGAAATCCAAAACCTTTTCTGGCTTTTCCTTATGAAGAAGTGACTTGTAATTTTGGAAATGCAATTTTGTACAGGCACTAAGTGTATATAGGGTTATTTTCTGCTTGTTCTTTCTATTTTCGCACTTGGGTTATGTATGTAGGGCTACTTGCAAGAGTTGTCAGGAGTTGGGGCAAAGCAGATGTACGAGAAGGAAAGATATATGTTGCTTGTGACCACCCCATGACCCTCCAACCCTCTTCCAACAAGAAGCTACAGATCAATACAATCATAATTATTGTTCCCATAGGTCCGTCGTATAAAATCCACATGATCCATATCCATAATTAGTCGAAGGAGGAGTGAACTTTAGGGATGACCATTGATAAATATTACTTTTTCATTATTTAAATATATTTTAATATACATGGTAATATTTAATTAGATTGTGGTAGCCTATTATGTGGTACATAATTATAACAAAATGACCACATTGATTTGCGATACAAATTTTCCTGGACTACATTAATTGATTTTCAATTTCAATGACCATCTTGATGGGGTGGGTCAATTTCAAGGACCATTTGAGATAATAAACCTTAAAAAATAGTTACATATATGTGTAATCGTGTGGTTCCTGATGAGTTTGGATGAATGCTTGAAGTCTACTCATTGCTTTGTGATTAGTGATGCTTTATTGTATTGTTTTTAGATCTAGTTTGCAAGGACCTTTTAAGGGTTGAGTTCTTTATGATATGTATTTGTAATGCATTTTTCTCAATGAATGAAATATCATACTATTCTTTAAAAAAATAAGTACATAATTAAGTGTACGTAATAGAGTTATGTAAGTTTTGAAATTTTGATTCATATTCGGAATATTAAATACTTTCCAATTCCTATCAAACTTTTTTCAGGATTATTTCAGATATCGGAATTTCGTTTTCGAATTTGAATCAGATGGAATATTTTCAAATATTTCGGTTTGGAATCGGTCAGAAGATATTTTATCCAAATTGCATACCCCTAATGTTGGTGCAGTCTAAATGCATGTCTAATACTACTTCTGAAAACTAAAAGCGCTTATGGGTAAATTTTGCATAAACATTCTAAAATATTTGTCATTTATAATAAATAGTGGCAGTAGTACTCCTTCAAAGGGAGAAAATGACCACAATTGTTTTTTTTTTCTTCTATTCATAGCACTAATTGTTCGAAGTCCTTGCCAAACTGGTGTTGTGTGAGTTAAGGTCCCCCGATGCTTTATTAGACTTCGTGGGAGCAAAACTTTGTCATCTTCAGTCTTAACAAATTTGTATCTACAATACAATAAACATATTTGATCAAGGTCAAATCCTCAAATGCCCAAGAGGTAGGGGGGGGGGGTTAGCCAATGAATTTATGATGCCTAAGTTAGTAGATAATGGTGGAGATGAGTGCTTAGGGCTTAAGTGTCTAGCAAAAGTGAAGGAAATCTTTTGGGAAACATGTTCATTTGAGCAACATCATATAACATGCAATTAACAATTAAAGGCGGAATCATGCTTGTATGTACTCAAAAACAAAACATGACCATGAAATTCAAAGCCTAGTAGATTGGTGAACCAATAATCAACTCAAAAACAAAGTGAGTTGAAATTTACCTTTGTAGATTCCTCTTTGCATAAGCAAAGGCTAATCACCCAAAGAGATAGGGCCTTCATTCCTTGCTTCTTAGATCCATGGATTTGGATGGAAGAATAGGTTCTCCAAGTTCCCAAAATTGAGAACCTCTAAGTCTCTACACCAAGGAGAGATTGGATGATGAATGAGTGACCTTGGAGGATTAGATGACTAGCTAATCACCTCCAAGGTGTTGGCCTCTTTAGAGAGAAAATGGAGAGACAATTCTCACCCATTTTCCCCAAAAATAAACCCTTATTTCGCTTAATGAATATTTGGCTATAAAGTCATTTATATAGTCACTTCTTTAAGTGACCTAAATAACCAAAACCCTAATTCATTTCTTATGGCCGGCCATTTAGGAATTTTTGGGCTTTTGGGCTTTAATGAATCTTTATTCATTAAATTGTCATACAACTTAAGTTAATGGGCTTGACGTTCGAAGCCCATTGGGCCTTAAGGTCCAAAACTATCCCGTGGTCTTTAACGAACTTATTCGTTTGATTAATTAACATATTAATTAATCCTTGCCATAAATAATTAAACCATTCAATTAATCTTACTCATTTCATTTATTTCGTCCATCTCTACCTTACACGGTGTACGATCCATTAGGTTCCTTTTAGCGAGGTAGTGGGCGATTAAAACCATTTTACATCGATTGTGAATTGAAACTATTTTCAATTCTCCCTTTAGTGATTACACACGTTTAGGGCTTCCACAAACCATGAGTGACACCTAGCCGTATGTCATGGTTACCCAAGCTAATCAGAAGAGGTGGAGAACCTATTCAGTCTGGGATTACAAATGCAATACGGTCCTTCTCTAATCTAATACTCTTGACCACATTGTTTTTGGTTTGATAGTTTATTTTCTCATGTCTACTATCCAATGTGTGTCTTGTGCTTATATGATTACCTTGAATGTGATTAGGAACGCATTCCCAAAATCTCATTCATACTCTGGCCAGAGATTCAAATCATATCAAAGAGTATTCTCCTTCAAACGGTTTGAAGGTTAGAGATCCCTTGTTGCGCATTCACTTGTCTCCATAGCTAAGCGGCTTGACCCCAACGATGCCGTGGACACCCTCCTGGTGGATGACTTTGACATAATCAAAGATCAAGGTCTTAACCACAAGACAACTATGATGCCTCAGGTCAAAGGACTACTTTGCATTATCCCAACCATGAGTTCTCATGTGACATGGAATATGAGAACTCTTCGTTGATCGCGTTCAGTGAACTCATTCTCTATTGAGCACCTACCGTACTTGTCTTGATGTCACACACACCAATGACTAGAGACTAATCACTCTCCCTGAGAGAAGACATAGTACGTACCGA